GTTTGTTGATGGGCAACCTTTCCAGATTTTAAACCATGTGTTATTGCTTGGTTCTGTTCAAACAACTGCTTCTTTATGTATAGGTTTCACATAAACACAATTAACTGTTTGGGATTCTCAATCTCCTCTTTGCTACCTATAAATTGTTGCAATTCACACAATCAAATGCCTTCTCCTACTTAGTAAAACACAGGTAAATATATTCTATGCTTTCAGCCAAAATCCATCTGACATCAGCAGTAATATCCCTGGCACCACAGCCTCTGCATCCAGCTCGAATTTTTGGCAGTTCCATCTCAAAGTATTGTTACGCTTTTAAATAATTTTACTTACATGAGAGTGACACTTTTTGATAATTTACTTAGCTGTTGGATCACCATTTTTTTGGAATGAGAACAAATAGAATTTAGTCACGTGGCCAAGTACCTGTCTTCTAAATTTCTTGACATAGGTTAGTGAGCACATCCAGGGGTGCATCTGTTTTATTGAATGTTTCAGTTGATTTTGATGGAGTTGTGCTTTGTACTTCTTTCTTTGTTACCATTATTTCTTGATCACATGCTACTTCCTGCAGTGGCTCAGTGTCCACCAATTCTTTTTGGTACAGTGACTGTGTGTTCCTCTAATCATTTGATTCTTCTTGTGTCAATTTAATGTTTTGCCATAAAATCCTTCAGTATTTCAAATCAAGGCTTGAATTTGTTCTTCAGTCTTTCAGCTTGGGAAATGCTGAATGTGTTCTTCCCTTTTGATTTACTAACTCCAGATCTTTGCACAACTCATTGTAGTACTTTGCTTTGTCTTCTTGATGAGTCACTTTGAAATCTTTGTTCAACTCTCTTAGTTCAGCATTTCTTCTTCTCCCCCCGCCCCCCAGCTTCTTCATGTTCTAGTGCAACTTTCAAAGTCTGTTCTGACATCCACTTTGGTGTTTTCTTTCTTCCTTATCTTGATAATGACCTTTTGCTTTCTTCATATATGATGTTCCTGTTGTCATCTCACAACTTGTCTGGTTGTCTGGTCTTTGGTCATTAATATTCAAGGCCTCAAATCTATTCTTGGGATAATTTTTAAATTCAGGTGGAATAAACTGAAGGTCGTATTTTGACTCTTGCAGCATTTTCAGTTTCTTCAGGTTTAATTTGAACTTGCGCATGAGTAATTTGACGTTCTGTTCTAGTTAGCCCCTGGACTTGGTTTGACTGCTGATACTGCTGTAGTCAGTTTGATTCTTGTATAGTACATCAGGTGGCGTCCAAGTAGATAGTTGCAATTTTTTAAAAAATACTTCCAATAAATAGATCACTGCTTTTAGAATATTTTATCATTTGATCTCCAGACTTATTTCTTCCACCAAGACTGTATTTTCCAAGTGCCTGTCATTTTTTGTTTCCAACTCTTTAATTTCAATTACAAATTATTATTTATACTTCTTGATTGCATGCTTGATCGCTTTCAGACTACAAAAGTTGGTAGAAATCCTCAGTTTCTTCTTTGTTGGCTTTAATGTTCGGTGTGTATATGTGAATAAATTTGTATTAGCAGATCTTATCCTATCAATCCCAGCATTATACTTCAGGACAGACCTTGAAGTGTGTTTGGGTTTAATTGTTGAATGTGACAGCTTTCCTCTTCAGTTTGTCTTTTTTGGCATAGTAGATTATATGATTATCAGATTGAAATTGGCCAATGCCAGTTGCTCTTGGCTCACTTAATGCCTAGGATATTGAAGATTCTGTGTTCTATTTTTTACAACTTCTAATTTAGATATTTTGTACATTCCACTTTCCAGTTATATTTGCAACTCTTTTCTTATTTTGAGTCTTGTTACATCAACAGATGAATGCCCTTCATTGAGTGAAAACTTAATTCTATCAACATCATTAAGTTAGACTCTACTTTGAGGAGGCAGACTTAAGAAGCAGGACTGGCTAACCACTTCTAAAATAACAAGCCTTAGAAATCCTACTGAATAACAGAAGAATATTGGCTATAGCCGTGAGCATGAGCACCTTAGGTTGAAAGGCATTAAAAATGCCACAGGGGAAAAGTTGCTTCCTCACTAATGTCTACTAGCTGATGTTTATCAACAGCTCTTTGCAGGTGGAACTGTTATGTGCATTCAAACTGGTAATAAATATCTAACTTGCATGCATCGTCATGTTTAATGACTGAATAGAATTTGCTGTGAATGTTAAGTGGCAGTGAGTCAACTCATAGCTTTCCTGTGTACAACATACTGAAACCTTTTCTGGTCCTGTGCCATCCTCACAGTCTGCTGTGCCCATTGTTGTCACTGTGTCAGTCCATCTAGTTGAGAATTTTCTTCATTGCTGACTTTCCACCTTTCCAAGCATGACATCCTTTTCCAAGGACTAGCCCTGCCTGATAACATGCTTAAAAGTATGTGAGACAAAGTCTCACCATCCTTATTTCTAAGAACATCCTCGCTGCACTTCTTCCAAGCCAAATTTGTGCGCTTTTGCTTTAAATACACTTCGCCAAGACAGTCATCAAGGCATCAGTTCTTCTTGGCTTTGTTTATCCATTGTCCAACTTTCATATGCATCTGGAGCAATTTAACATGGCTTGAGACAAGTCATCCTCTGACATCCATGCTCTTTGGCTCTAAAGAAGTGTTTTTTTGGTTTTTTTTTTCTCCATATTGGTTTATTTACAAGGTTTTTATACATTGTTTTTCACACCAGATCTTTACATTTTCTTCATCCTCTTCCATCAAATTGTGTGACCCTATGATTAACCAACCCCAACTCTGCCCATCCTCACCCCTCTGCTTCCCCCACCCCTTTTTGATCCTCATACTCATTCTACAATAATGGTCTTACACAGTATTTGTTCTATGGGACTGAGTTCACTCAGCTCATCCCAAGTTAGGTAGTGATTTCCAAAACTAAAGAATTTCTTGACAGCAGATTTCCCCAGTACAATAAAACTTTTGATTTCTTGTGTGCTGCTTATATGGGTTTTGATTATAGATCTAAGTGAAATGAAATCTTTGACATCTTCAATCTTTTCTCTGTCTATCATATCACTGGGAGTTCTGATGGCCAATGGGTAAGGAGTTGAGCGGCCAACTCAAAGGAATGTGGTTTGATGCCACTACCTGCCGAACAAGAGAATGATGTTCATCTCTGTGGTATTTAAAACTCAGGATACCTGCTGAAGTGTCTTTCATGTGTTGATTCCAACTCAAAAGTACATAAAAACAACATCATGATACTGCTTATTGGTCTAGTGAGGATTTTTATTTTCTTGATGTTGAAGTATAAAATTAGGAGAATAGAATTCTAGTAAAAGTTAATTTTCTACAATATCCTAATGATATGATCATCTTGACAAGGACTATATGTTGTAAAGATATTTACGTACTGTACATACTTGCTAGATCTGGACATGCTCTACTAAGCTGAAGAAGCATGCATCAAGAGTACTATGTAGTTGGTACTTGCACTTTGCTAGATTGAGTTGGAAGGTATGGAGATAGGATCATAAAGGTGAATAATACTCCTATAAAGTCTTCTAGTAAAGAGACACAATTTTAATATAAGAAATGCTTGGAAGATGGATCCAGAGATTAATAGCAGTGGGGTTCAGGGGTTGAGCTGTGTAATGGCACAATGATGTGACTTTAAAAAGTATGGGGGAATTCAAATTTCCTAAGAAAAGATCAGGCAAGTAATATGTAGTCTGCATTAAGCAGAATTTACTTTGGTGGGCTTTAGTTCTTGAGCAGTGGGAAACCATGGCATGATCATAGAGACGCTTGGCCTCCTTAGGGTAAAGGCCAGAGAAAATCTAACTACCGAATGGAGAAAACCGTTCCTCATCTAGATTTAAAGTGAAAGCAAAAAAGCATCAAACTGCCCTCAAGTTGATTCAAACTAATAGCTACCAGTTAAATATTCGAGGGAAGAGATTGCCTATTCTCCTTGGTAGTAGCTGCTGAAAGATTTAAGCAGAGACCACGGACCCATAATAATTTGACTTGAAGATTCCGAACAGTGGTTCAAAACTGGGCTTTTAAACTGCACAGACCTAGTTTGCTTTTACTGGGAATTTGCTGTCAGGGACCTTTCCAGAGTACTGACGAGCAACAAAGTCAGTCTGGAGACTAAGGTTCACCTGAGCCAGGCCATGGTTTTTGCAATTACTTGCTATGAATCAAATAGCCAGACAATGACTAGAGATGATAGGGAATTGATGCCTTTGAGCAGTGGTGCTGGAGAAGAATATTGAATATACCATGGACTGCCAGGAGAATAAACAGGTTCATCCAGGAAAAAGTAAACCAGGATGCTCCTTAGAGGCAAGGATTGTCGGACATACATTGGGCATGTTGCAAGGAGGGACCAGTCCTTGGAGAAGGAAATCATGCTTGGGAGGGTGGAGGGACAGCACAGGAGAGGAAGACCCTGGATGGGGTGGGTTGACTCAGTGACTGGCGTAATGTGTGTCAGAGTCGATAAGGTTGGCTCAGAATAGTGCAGATTTCAGAGCTTGTACGTAAGGTTGCTGTTGGTCTCAAGCGATTCGTCAGCACGTAATTTCCTTCCCATTTGGGTACTTTGCTACTAAAAGAAAGTTAAAAGTCAGCTATCACCAAAGTGCTTCTCATTAATAAAGCTGACTGCAACGTCCTGTCCAGTACAGTTGTTAGGGGGTAAATTGAGACCCTTTATCCAGTCCCTGATAGTGAGAAGCACTCTGCTAGGTCTTTGATTGGGCTAAGGGATGGATCAGGTAGCTCAGTTGTTCATACACCTACCAAACCCACTGTGGAAGAAAGGGAGTCAGGCCTGGGATGTGGCTGGTTTAACCCATGGCTGGAATCCTGTCTGTGGTGGTCTCCAGCTGTCCAAAATGACCCCGAAAAGCCACATAAACGGGCCATGACGGCAGGGGGTAGCTGGCAGAGGCACAGGGAAGACGAAGCTGAGCCCTTGGCTCTAGAGACTGTTGAAACTTTTTGACACCTTCTATTTAAAGTCTCGGGACCCGCCCGCCCCCGGACCGGGAACCCGAGCCTCTGAGGGCAGGGCCAGGCCAGGCTCAGTCAGAGGGAGAACACCGGGCGGGCGCGGGCGGCTGGGCTCCGGCTCCCGGACAGGCGCGATGGCGAGCAGCGACGGCAACCCCACCACCGAGAGCTTCGGCTCCGAGGAGGAGGAGGAGACCCGGGGGCTGGAGACCGAGGAGGAGTCGGAGGGCGAGGAGGACGAGACGGCCGCGGAGTCGGAAGACGAGCCCGACGCCAGGTAGCGCACGCCTCTCCGCGATCCGCAGCTCTCCCGCTCTGGCGACAGCTCGCCTGCGGTGCAGGGCGAAGGGGCTTCGCTGGAGAAACTCTCCTACCCCCTTCTGTAACCCTCAACCTCCTTTCCTAAGCTCCCCACTTCATTTCCTTCGACCTAAGCACTTTCTGTCTGGGCACGCTGCCTTTATAAAGAGCGTGAAGGTGGAGGTGCGAGCTGTCAGCTGGAGTGACAGGCCCGCCTGCAGCCAAGCTCGCCTCCCCTACATACCTCCTCCCGTCGCCTGCTCCTTGTGACTCGGTACTTCTGTTCATTCCTGGGCATTTGCCTAGGTGTCTGTCTAACGGGAGCGCTTTTATTTGGCCCAAACCAAGACCATTTTGAAAGCTTGAACTTGAGGCCATCTCTGGGATGTGGGGAGGGAAGTTAAGAATTGCTTTCTGAAACCTTAAACTGAACGGATGGACATGTCCCAGGTACCTAGCACTGTGCTAGGGTGTTGTCACTGCCTCTGTCAGAACCGACTCATGGCTGATCCTCCAGCAGGTTTTCAGACGCTGTACAAGAGCAGGAGGAGATTGCCCATCTTTCTCTCTCTGATCCAGAACACCTGCTTTTGGGTTGGCAGCACAACTCCAACCCACTAGGCCACCACAGCTACCTTAGGATGTTGTGTTGTTACTGAGTACCTTCCAGTCAAAACCGACACATAGGCAATTATGCAGTGGATTTTCAGAGGCAGTAAATCATGCAGGTGGAAATGGCCCATTTTCCTCCTGTGAAGCAGCTACTGGATTCAAACCATGTACCAGTTGCATGTTGGCAGTGCAATTCCTTACCTGTAGGCCACCAGAGCTCCCTTTGGATGCTATAGGGGAGTTAATTTTGGCGCCAAACCCATTGTTATATGCCCTCGAGTTGCTTGCGACTCATAGCAACCCTGTGTACAACAGCTCTGAACCTACTCCTACCTTGAGCCAACCTCATTGTCATTGCTAATTGAGTTAACTCCCAGGAATCCTGCAGGACAGAGTAGAACTGCCCCACAGCGTTCCCAAGTGATTTATCTTTACAGCAGTAAATTGGCACACTTCTCTCACTAAGAAGCTTGTAAATTCCTACTGTTAACCTTTCAGTTAGTATCCAGTGAGCCACCAGAGATTTTTCAACTTTGATAAAAAGGTCCATACATTCTCTGAGACTAAGTACCAAGAATTTCAGTAACCACTGCTCTTAAAACCCTGCTTTTGATACCCCACCCCTTATAACTGAATTCACCTCAGTGAATGTAAATGCAATTAATGATAGAAAATGACAAAGGACAAAGGGCCCAGATGGAGGATGTTTATGAATTGGAACCCTCTCCATGGCAGTGGGATATAAAAAGACAGGTATCCCTCCATTTAGATCTTTGTCCCTCCTCATGGAGGTCTTGAAATTGGAAGAGTAGGACTCAACTCCATTTAGATCTGTTTCTACCTTCATTTGTTCTAGGAATATTTTGTCAATCTGTTAACACAGTCAGAAGAAAGATGACAGCTGGGTACACCCTATTGCTTCAGAATGCTCATCTTACCCTCAGTTAAAAATCCTGCCCAGTCAGAGCCTTCAGTGCTGAAATTGTAGTAACAGCACATAGAGGGACATTCATTAGGGGATGTGGCCAAGTAACTAAGACGTCTTGAATATTGCACTTATATTTACCAAGCAGCCTTTGCCCTCAGATACTTTAAGGAAAAAGTTATGGAGACTAAAATATAATTTGCTAAATAAATTAGGGATAAACTATGGGTATTGAGGAAAGTCCAAAGAGAGGATGCAGAGCCAAATGGCTGCCTTTCAGTAGTGAGCACAGACCTTGGGGGGATGGGAGACCTTAGAAGAAAATATATCTGTTGTAGATTCTACAATCTCTGGGTATATTGAGAAGATTAAGTGTATCAACCTCAGGCTTTCTAGCTGTTTTTCTTAGAGGTGAGCAGGATCCTTATACCCTTGTCCAGTGGTGTCCTGGAGCTTTATACTTTGTCTGTTGGAGGCAAAACTTTACCTCCAAAAGGATCTGAAAAATGTTAAATATGAGCAGCTGACAGTAATTCATAGTGACCTTAGGGTCACTTGGCTCTTTGTCAAAGGTCAAGACCTGAATTATGTGCAATGGTTTCATATAATAAGGTGGACTCCAGGGGAAGGGGCTAGATAGAGCAGAGAGTGTCATATGGAAATACAAAAGAGGAGATGGAGACCTTGAAAACCATCACACTGTAAACTTTTTAATATAATGACATGAGTAACAGTAGTTCAGTAACCTGCCTAAACAGAGTTGAGAAACAGATGAATATTCTTGGAAAATTAGTCTGTTATGGACATTTTGGAAAGTTGGTATACAGGAGAGCTCTCAGTTCAGGAAGACACTTGTAGTATGAAGAAAAGGTGGTGTCTAGGGTAGGAACCCCACTGAGGGCTATGGGAGAGGAGAAGGCAGTGGGAACAGGTCTTCAGGCGACTAGGAATCCCCACGTTTCTTCTACCTCAGTGTTGTTACTTTGTTGTGCCTGAATTGACACATAGGCATGACGTTTGAGAGGTGAGAATTTGTGTTCTGTAAAGGATGTTCATTTTCGGTTCTTTTTGATGCTTCCATCTATGTTTTATGATTAAGAGGACCAATTCACTTGTGCCTAGTACAGTGCTAAGTGTTTATGTTTTAAAACTTTCCAGACAACCCTAAGTGGTGATTATCCTATTAAAGATGAGGAAATAAACTGACTTAAAGGCAGAGGTAAGACGTGAGTTTAGATCTTGGTACTACAAAACGCTTAACATCCACTATCTCTTCCTTTCAAGAGGAGAGAGACTCTAGGCTGACTAAATTACCTAATTGGTTGAAATTTTAACAGACTTTTCTAGTTTCTGCTTTCAAAAGTTTTCTAAGAAAAAGGAAAAATCTTATCTCTGAGTTATTACAGTGAGAGTTTTCCACTTTGGGAGGGAAAAAGCTGCCTCTACATTTTTTTCCTGAGAAGTATTCTCAGAAAATAAATTACAAATGGATTACTTTTTTAAAAGTTATTGCTGTTGATACATCTCTTCCAGTCAGTTGGCCAAGAAACAATCTCCCAGATTTCTCGACATAACCTGTGAGCACCTTCAGGGTTACATCTGTTTCCTGAAGCACTTCAACTGGTATTCCATCAGTTCCAGGGCTTTATTTTTAGCTAGTGCTTTCAGTCCAGCTTGAACGTCTTTGTTCTTGGTTCTTGATCAGACACTACTTTTTAAATTTAGTTCCTTGTGGATGAATGCTTTTTGGTATCGTGATTTTGTGTCCTCCTTCCATCTTCTTTTGATACTTCTTGCTTTACCCAAGATTGTGTCCGTGGTATACTTTAGGGTAGCCACTGGAGGCTTGAATTTGTTTTTCAATTCTTTTAGTTTGAGAAATTCTGAACAAATGTTTCCTTCTTATTTTCTAACTTCAGCTCTTTGCACATTCTAATATAATACTTTGCCTTGTCTTCTGTAGTTGCTTTTTGAAATCTCTTTTTCTTATCTTTTATTAGCATTTCTTCCCTTTGTTTTGGCCTCTTGACGTACTAATGCAATTTTCAGAGTCTCTTCTGACATCCATTTTGGTCTCTTCTTTCTCTCCTGTGTTTGTAATGATTTTTTGCATTCTTCAGGGGTCATATTCTTGATGTCATCCCACTATTCATCTGGGGTTTGCTCATTAGTGTCCAATGCCTCAAATCTATTCTTGAGATGGTTTTTAGATTCAAGTGCCATAGACATTTTGGTTCTTATCAGTTTGTTTTAATTTTATTGGGTTCCAGGTTGAACTTGCTTAGGAGTAATTGATGGTCAGTTCCACAGCAGGCCCTGGTCTTGTTTAGATTGTTGACATTGACCTTGTCCAATGAGTATTTTCCCACTAATGTCGTCTGATTTCTGTGTGGCTTATTAAGTGAAGACCGTGTGCATGGCCACCATTTGTGCTTTTTAAAAAAGTATTTGCAATGAATAAAGAATTAATTTTACAAAATATGGAAAAAAAGAATTGTTGCTGTTGAGAACAAATTGATTCATAACTGACCCTCTAGTGGGTTTTTCTCCAAAAACTTCAGCAGGTATACAGAGGCAGTAAATCACATGGGAGTTTATTGTCACTTTTTCTCCCATGAAGCAACTGGTGGATTAAAACTGCATGCCTTAGGTTGACAGCACAGCTCCTTCCCACAAAGCCCCCAGAACACTGGGATGACTGGCCAGGTGATGCTGGACCTCCTGGAAAGGAGAACTGAAAACAGGACCCATCGCATATGAAACATGCATCAAGACAAAGGTCCTTACCACCAGGCAAGAGGGCAGCGTCATGACAGATGGAGAAAGGATTGAAACTGTTAATGATTTCACATTGCTTGATTCACAATCAATATACTTGGTGCTAACAGTCAGAAGATAAAGAAATGTATTGCTTTGGCAAGTCCGCTGTCAAGGCCCTCTCCAAAATACCGCAGAGCAGTGATGTCAGTTTGAAGACGAAGGTTAGCCTGATTCAGGCCATGGTCTTTTCAATTATTTGCTGTATATCTGAGAACTGGATGATGAATAAGAATTAAAGAGGAAGAATTTGATGATTTTGGATTGTGTTGTTTGCAAAGAAAACTGCATATCCCATGGACCACCAAAAGAATGAACAGGACTTGGAAATGGTGCAACCAGAGTGCTCCTTGTAGACAAAGATGGCAGTTTTGTCTCTCATACAATGGACATGTTGCTAGGAGAAGCTATTCCTTGAAAAAGGATGTCATTCTTGATAGGGTGGAGGATTAGCAAATGAGAAGAAGAGCTCCATAGAGATGGATTGACATGGTAACTGCAGCAATGGGCTCAAGCATATGAAAGATGCTGAGGATGCTACAGGATAGGATGTGTTCATAGGGTCACTACAAGTGGTATTCAACTCAATGGCACCTAAGAGCAACCACTGAGGAACATCCTGC